TTACATGTCGTTTTCTATATGTTCTCTGACATTTATCCTAACGATATGAGGCGGTCTTTGTGGAAAAAAAGCTTGTTTAGTGGACTAACTTTGCACTTGAAGGTTGCCCGTTCACTTACGTTTTAACAGGTCTGACGCTACTATGCGCCCCGGCTGTATCTAGGCTAACGGCTAACATGCTAACTATTATTTTTATGTCACTAGTCACTTGAAACAAATTTAGGACGACAGGAGACAGGTTGAAATAAACCGAAATTTCCCTTTAATGTCGTGCATGAATCCAGATGAGCCTGTATGAAATGTGTTCACTCTGTTTCACTGAAGCCAAACTTGTTCCTGCTGCAGGTGGGCGGGGCAAGTCGCAGACAGACACCACCTGTCAGGTATAATACAGCTGAACTAACTGTTATATAAACTCAGACTCAACACACACATGAACATATTTAGATTAACACATTAAGACTGAAGGAGCCAAAAATGTTTGCTAAATTCACATAATCATATGTTTCACATTAATATCAAAGCATGAGCAGCTCATGTGATGTAAAACTTAATTCTGGATGTTGTGTAACAGTGCGTGATGATACAGGCATGTTTTTATCAACACTATCAGTTTGGACTGAAGATGTTTTGCTGTCAGTGTTTTACACATCAGCCTCTGAGCTGCAGTCCTGATGGTGCAGACTGACAGTGAGTCTCTGCTTTTATCTCAACAGACAAACTGAGTGATGTTTTTATGAATAAATGGTCAACTTTGAAAATGTTGCATCACCACTTGTGCCACCTCTTCTTTCCCCTCCAAGGTTTCATCTCCTCTTTGTCTTCATTAAGATCCTCATTCATCCTCCGTCACACTGTGTCTCTGTGCTCCACTTTCTAATCCTCTTTTTTTGTTGCTTTATTCTCCACAGTTCTTTCACATTTCTTGCTCCTTCACAGCTTCCTGTGGTCTTACTGAAACATTAATGCAACCTCACTTTCAAACTGTCACCTCTTATTTCTCCTCTCTCGTCACTTAAGTTTTGAGTTCACTCGTCTGCTTCAGTTATTATTAAAACATGACTGTCCTCTTTCTTTCTAATAAAATCTTCAGGTTCCAAAATCTGTTATTCCTCACTGATTTTCTGATTTTGAGGCAGTGTGGTGAAGTCATGTGTCGTGTAGGGTTGCAACAGTATGAGACGGTGCGATTTCTGTCTCAGAATATCGCGGCTTCACAGTTTCATGATATTCAGAATATATCTTATGAGTCAGGATGAGCCTCAGAGGAATGAAAAGAGGAGGGTTACTGTTGGTTGAACAAACGTTGAAACCTTTTTGTTAATGAAGTTTGTGTAAAAAAATTTCCTCTTAGAAAATAAATAAATAACTCAAATAAAGGAGAGATTCTTCGTCCAGTTTCATTTTTTTCAATATTATAGCTAAGCAAATGTACACAGTATGATAACCGTCACCTTTTAAATCACTGTAGACCTTGTAACTGACACATCACTGCAACCCTGATGTCATGTTAAAAGTCTCCCATCCTGTTACAGTAACACAGTAAGTGACAGTAATTCCCAGGTTTGTCATTTAAAAAGAAATAAACGATGAGGAATTCCCGTCTGAAGGGAAAGTGATTGTTACTTCAGTAAAGCTGTAGTGTAATTCCCCTGAATAACCCTTCGGTTCATGCACACATCCTCCTCCTCCTCCTCCTCCTTCATCACTAGGTGGCAGCAGACAGACGCTGGCAGTGAAACAGCAGCTCTGAGGAGGTTCTTATGAAATCGTTGCCTTCAAACAGGCAACTCTGTGTTTTGACTATACAATACCCTGCAGTGTTTGGCACTCAGGCTACGAACCAGCCGCAGGGCTGCATGAGGAAAACAAGATGTGCAACAGAGAGCTCATCAAGAAATCTTCAAAACATT